AGTTGGGGTTCTCCAGTTTCTAAGGTTTTTACCGTTAAGGGTTGCTATCCCTACTTGAGCTCCCCATCTCTTAGAACTTTCCCTTGGAAGTGTATGTGGAAATCCAAGGTCCCTCATCGTTGGCTTTCTTCTCTTGGACCGCAACACTGGGGAAGATCTTGACTATTGATAACTTTCGTAAGCGTGGCCTTATCTTGGTTGATTGGTGTTGTTTATGTAGGGAGAGTGGAGAGAGTCCTGATCATGTTCTTCTACACTACAAGCTAGCTCGGGAATTGTGGGATATGGTGTTTGCTTTGTTTGGGGTCCAGTGGGTCATGCCGAGAACAGTTTTCGATCTTCTTTCATGTTCGCAGGGGCCTAGCGGTAGTAGTAGGACTTCCTTGGTGTGGAGGGTTATTCCACACTGTGTTTTTTGGTGTGTTTGGAGGGAACGAAACGCTCGCATTTTTGAGGATACTGAGACCTCCATTCCGGAGTTGAAGAGTAGTTTCTTTTATGTATTGTTCGAGTGGGTTAAGGGCTTGGGTTTTCTCTCCATCAGCTCTCTTAGAGACTTGTTGGATCATTGTACTCTTTGATTCCTTTGTCCTTTTGTATACTTCTAGTATACTGGGACCTTTTCAATGAAAGTTTATTTAGTTATCAAAAAAAAAAACAACCTTAAAGTCCAGGATCCAAGCCACGTGGCCCCTCATTTTCGAACTCTCAGATTCGTAATCAGAGGATTGTGTAGTTCTACAATTACAAGAAGATCAACTTTTAGTGTAGTTCTCAAAAATACAATTTCTTTATTTTAATATACGAAATTTGTACAAAGGTTTCCCCTTATACCTTTTGATTTGGATTAGGAAGTCCCTGCTGAATCCTTTCTGAGCTCACTTTGTACTTTTGCTGATGAATGCAAATTCATCATGAAGTGGTTGAGCTCATGCTTTTGTCCGTGACCCTTGCTCCATCTTTTCTAATATCTGTGGTCGGATTGGCACTTTCCAGTACTCGTTGTAATAGAACACATTGTAGCTTTTATTGATTTTAACTTCTATGTTTCATTTTTTTATGTTTCTATTTTTCTGAGGTTTAAAAAAGAATTATTTTGCCCCATGCACACATGCATTCATATTCATTTTTATGGCTTTAATTGACTATTAAATTAAAGTGCTGTTTCTGTGTTCATTTGTATCTTTATACTCAAAAGACCGAGTTGGTTGTTTGTGTGAACAAGTGTTTATTCATGTGATAACTTCTCACTCTATATCCTTTCTGGAAAGGCGATCCTGATCCCATTGACATGAATCGGCTTAGAAAGCTTGCTGCTTTTCAGAAGAAGGCTCTGGAGCATGCGTTATGTTGTAAGTGTAATCAATGATTGTTGCAATTTCTGTTTCTTCTTTGTAACCTTGGAAGGTTGAATTTCCTGACTGTGGACAAAGTTTTTGAACAATAATTTTTCTGTGATATCAAACAGATATATTTCAAACTCGCAATTGTTTGTGTTCTAACGGGTATCTTAAACAGTAAACATACTACGTTCAATTGGCAACATCACTTTTGATATATTTCTTTTTCACTTGAAGAGTTGATTATATGCTATTACTTTTGCTTGAGAATGAAGTATATTTGTCTACAATTTTTGCAGTCCCTGCTGTCGAGAGAATTGTTTACAGTACATGCTCCATTCATCAAATTGAGAATGAAGATGTTGTCAACTCAGTTCTGCCTTTTGCTTCAACTCATGGTTTTCAACTTGCGACAACCTTTCCTCAGTGGCCTCAACGCGGCCTTCCAACTTTTGATGGATGTAAGTTTGCTAAACTTAAATACGATTAAAAAAGTTACTGCTAGGTACCCTTTTGTTTTCTAACATGATTGGATAGATTACCTTTTTAGTTTTTTCTTTCCCGTGCAAGTGGAATAAGTTATCTTAACACGTGGTTATTTTCGAATTTGATCAATGAAAAGAATTACTTATTTTAGATGTTATTACTTGTAAGTAAACTTTTAACTTAAGTCAAATGTTCGCTGTGTTGATTTCCTTGTGTTCAGCCCAACATTTGCTGCGGACGAATCTGGTTGAAGACAAAGAAGGCTTCTTTATTGCTCTGTTTGTTAGGAAGACTAAGCATCAATTAGAACAGCCTACGAAGACTGCTGAAAAAAGTACTGATACAAAAGTTAGGAGGAAAAAGAAACGTGTAAACTATCCTATTGCTAGAATGCTTGGAAAATGGTGGTAAACCCTATCCTCATGAGTCTCAATTGTACGTGTGAAGATCGAAGTTTTCAGTTGCGGCCGTGGAACACACACGAAACAGGAACAACCATTGTCGCGTAACTTCTCTCTGTGTCGAATTTTAGTATGAATTTAGGTTCTGTTGTAACGCGGCATGATGATTAATTTAATTAATCATGCAATGTCCGTCCAAACATGAGTTTAAACCTAGGTTTTTTTGCTCGAGTGTAATAGAAGTATTAATTTCATATTTGATGCTATAAGCTTCTTTCTTTGATCTTCGTTATGTCTCTAGGAAATTCAAATCCCTCCATTTAATTTAGGTGTAAGGCATAATTCTTTGATGGCACTTTTTTACTTTAGCTTTAAAAATCTGATTGAACGCAAAAATAGCACATACGGATAATTGTTGGTCAAAGGCCAAATAGAGTCTGAAAATTCCTTCGAAAATTAAGAAAAGCCTTCGAAAATTAAGAAAAGGAGGTGAATTTATCTGGATACTCAACAAGAAACATATGTAGGTACACACTGCAAATTTTTAACCAAAAAAGCAAACTTCTTCTAAACAAACACACATTACTTCCCCTTCCAAACATTCATTATTATTCCATTGAACTCCTCATTTCAACCAATTTTAACCTCAATAGTCTTGGGTTTCTTGGGTTCAGGAGGAGGCAATTTCTGAACAGTCACAGTCAAGACCCCATCTTGACATGTAGCAGAAATTGCTTCAGTATTTGCATTATCAGGCAGCACAAATTTCCTCATAAATTTCCCAACTCTCCTCTCCATTCTTACATACTTTGCACCCTCTTTTTCCTCCTCTCTTTTCCTCTCCCCAGATATCAGCAGCACATTGTCTTCCTCCACCTGCACTTTGATGTC